GCTAAGGTTAGTCTTTGGAATCTGGTAATCCCTCCAACAAATCATGACAATACAATTTCTCTTTTTATTTTATTTAGTGTATGGAAACACATTTTATTCCTCTAAGAAATAAAGCACATTTCATTTGAACGAACAATTCTATTTTATGGGAGGGAAACTTAAATGCCTGCAGGGGGCAGTAGGTAACTTAAATGGAGCAGGTTGTAATACAAAGAATTACAACCCAGAATAATCTGGCTCTATTACATTTCCTATTAAAACTCTTTACTGTGCTTTAAAAAGGCATTGCAGTCAGATTTTGACCCTGTATTGTAACTGCTCATGTGAAAAGTTGCATAATAGGAATATCAGCATTTTAATTTCTTTGTTGTCAAACAGAAACAAAAACAAAAAGTTTTTGGTATCTGCAATGTAGACACCAACTTACAGGAATGTATATAAATGGGAGAAAAATGCCACTGAAGGAACCAAGGCCTTTACTTCAACTCTCTCTTGCTTTGCATTTCCACTTTCATTTTTACTGTATTCTGACCAGACCCTTATTATTTCATTAATTGCTATAAAATCTGATAAAAATGGACTTCACTCCTGAAGGATATCCAGATGGTAATTTCAGTATTTCCAAATGTTTTTGAAAATAGCAAAGTCAAAATTTCATGGAATATTTTATGGAAACTTTGAGCGATTTGATAAAAATCTAAAACCTATTTGCTGAACTAGAAATCTGCAAAAACAGCTTTTTTAAAAAAGAATTCTGTGATTCTAGAGTTATCTAGAGCTAGGTTCAAATAATTAGTAACTAACTGTGGGACTGGGGAAAATTCATTAACCTCATCTGTCCTGTGGAGAATCTTGTGAGGATTAAATGAGATTGCATATACAAAGCATCCACCATACAGCCCAGAACAGGAAGTGCTTCATAAATGTCAGTTCCTTTCATTTCCAATCTCGTCTATGTGAGTCCTTTGAGTTTTGGTACTCTGAAATCTTATAGGGTCTTCATAAGCCTAATGGTTCATATTACACAGAATACTCAAATCTGCATAATCATAAAGAATAGCTTAATTGATTTAACTTGTACAAGCACAATGATGAAACAATAGTAGAAATTACAGTAGTTTGTTGATGCACCCATATTTGAATCTGATGTAATGAAGAAGGTGAAAGAATTAATGATGGTTATTTCTCACTTACGGCTCCTCACTGATTGCTTTTCTTCCCTTGCTTTCTGACAAACCACAGAAAATTTACCTGCTTAGAGGCTGTGAAGACAAAGTTTCAATCAACCAATACAAATAGCTAAGCAAGGAGTACTCTCTATATGGGAATTCATTGCCTATCCTCAAAAAGCATCATTAATGCACTGATTCTACAGAAGTAAACTTGGATGCTAGCAGGGAATGAGATTGAAAGCAATTAAGCTTTCTGCTTTCAACCTCCTAAGGGATCTTTTCAAGTTAATCTTCTTGAAAGCCTAAAACAAAGCCACTTACAAACACAGGGTAAATTCAAAAGCTTGTTAACACAATGCTAGGGGTAAATATGTAAATATATCAAAGGTAAAGTTTCAGTTCCCACAGCAAAATTGTAACTTAGCCACTTAACACTGTAGCAACCCAGAGTATCCACAACCAGAGGAAAACATTTCTTCAGTGGCTCTAGGCCTTTCTGTCTTTGAAAACTTTTGGCTATTATGTTGCATTTGTTTTGGCGTGTTTACTCACATTAAGATTTCAAAAGCATCACATTTAAATTCTACAATTGAAAGCTCTTCAAAAAAACTTGGCCTCATTTTTCAGTGGTGATGGCTTCAGCCACATTCATCCTGAAATTGTTGTCCATTTCAGCCAGGGGCATTATAAATTCATCCATACACTTTTATGGAGAAATATTTATGATAAATCATCTTTGGAATGCTGTTTTTATGCTATAGTGTAAGTCAGAAAGGCTTCACTGGTGGCTCAGCAGTAAAGAATCCGCCTGCAATGCAGGAGATGTGGGTTCGACTCCAGGGTCAGGAAGCTCCCTGGAGAAGGAAATGGCATCCACTCTAGTATTCTTTCCTGGAAAATCCTATGGACAAAAGAGACTGGTGGGCTACAGTCTACGAGATTGCAAGAGTCAGACACGACTTAGTGACTAAGCAAAAACAACAATACGTCAGAAAATTTAAGAGTGTTCACCACGTAGCAAGGAACTTCCTAGGTACCACAGTGGTAAAAAATCCTCCAGCCAATACAGGACATGCCAGAGACGCAGGTTTGATCCACCGGTCAGAAAGAGCCCCTGGATTAGGAAATGTCAACCCACTCCAGTATTCTTGCCTGGAAAATTTCCATGGACAGATGAACCGATCTGGCTACAGTCCATGGAGGTCACAAAGATTCGGACATGACTGAGCTACTGAGTGAACGCACACGTGCACACACACACACACACACACACACCCCATATAGTAAAAGAACTCAAAGTGGAAAATAACTAAAACTTAAGGGCTAAAACCAGTAAACCTTAACCAAAGCTGAGGAATGCATTTTTATGGAAACTACCAAAATAAAACAACAATGTAAACATGGGATAAATTTTAAAAGCAGGGGTATAAATGATTTTTTATTATACATATAGCAGGAAAATAAAGACATCAAATACAGTTTCATAGTCAGATGAGAATTAGTGATGTCTGAAATTGTCTTCATTGTATTCAAAATTCAGTGTAACAACTCAACATTATGCCAGAATCAGGATGGGAGATTGAATGGCTAGTTTATACAATCAGAGTAAAGTGAGTGATTCTAGAATATCTAGAACAAGGGCCAACCAAACCCCCGGGAGGAGGACATGGAAACTCACTCCAGTATTCTTGCCTGGAGAATCCCATGGACAGAAGAGCCTGGAGGGCTACAGTCCATAGGGTCACAAAGAGTCAGACACGACTGAGGTGACCTGGCATGCATGCCGGCCAAATATAGCCTGATGTCTACTTTTGTAAAGTTTTACTGAGGTACAGTCAAGCCTGTACTCTTACGTATCATCTATGGCTGATTTCACATTGCAGTGACTGGCACGTGCACGTGAGTCGGCAAAGCCTGAAATACTTACAGGCTTCTTCCCTTGTGGCTCAGATGCTTGGGAATCTGCCTGCAATGCAGCAGACCAGGGTTTAATCCCTGAGGAAGGGAACACATGTGTGCGTGCTAACTTGCTTCAGTCCTGTCCATCTCTTTGCAACCCTGTGTCCTGTAGCTGGCCAGACTCCCCTGTCCATGGGGTTATCTAGGCAAGAATACTGAAGTGGGTTGCCATGCCCTCCTCCAGGGGATCTTCCCAATCCAGGGATCAAACCTGCATCTCTATGTCTCCTGCATTAGCAGGTGAGTTCTGGACCACTAGCACCACCTGGGAAACCAAGAGAAGGGAATACTTATACTTAAAATGCTTATAATATGGACTTCTACAGAAAATTCAGCCAAAAAACTTAAATAAAAGCAGATGTAAAGATCCATTGTCTGGATAAACAAGGTCCTAGTGTATAGCACAGGGAACTATATTCAATATCTTCTGATAGACCATAATGGAAAAGAATATAAAAAAGAATGTGTGTATATGTATAACTAAATCATATTGCTATACAGCAGAAATTAATATGAAATTGTAAATCAACAGTAATTCAATAAAATAATGGAAAACAATTCTATCACCTGAAATATAGAACTCTCTGTATTTTGGCTGAGGAGAAGTTGACACACACACACACACAATGTACAGACTAGAAATGACCATTTATTTTGACCACTTTCTTTTTTTTTTTTTTGAAATATTCCCAAATTTCAGCCATTTATTTTTGTTTCACCTTTTAATTCCTATACAGTTCATCAGTTCTTTATCAGTAACATTCTCACTGACAAAGACCAATTTACATTAACTATAGTTATGTATAACATATCAAGGGAGTACCCAGGAAAATCAGAACATAAGACTTCATCAGCTAAAGAGAGTTCAAGTTTGCTGTTATGAAGACATACAAGAAAACAAATACACTGAAGCATAAACAAAAAAAAATCAGAGTAACAACAGCATTTCAGAAGGAAAGATACAATAAAGATCTTAATTTACAATATGTATAATTATATAATTTATTACAATTAACACAATTCATGTACAAAATATTAACATGGGAGTCACTAAGTTTGTTAAGCACTTCAACTACTGAAATGTTAAAACACAATAAAAACTATATTAACCAACTTCTCCATCAAGGGATCTAACTTAGCTCACTAGTTCAGGCTGAACATTCACTCTCCGAAGTACTTCTTCAGGCATGCAAAAAACAGGGCTAACAGGTTTAATCTGTTCTTCTCCCAAAAGTGACAATCCAGCAATTCCAAACAGAGTATGAAAAGGATCTACCATATCTCCTGGCCTATCTGCAAATCCTCCTGTTTCTTCATCTTGACATGCTAGGATGAAACTGCGGAGTTTTTCTCTATCAATCCAATGAAGCCTTCCAATTATCTTTAGGGAAGCCAACACCCACCATGAATAGCATACATCTGGTAACTTCTCTGGCCTTCCATTGAGTCCGCCTGATGGAAGCTGTCGTTCACAAAGCCACCAACCGAGTAAATCAGAATTTACTTGGTACAACTGACTAGTAATAGCCAAGAATCCTGCCCGGCATGGGATTCAGAACCTGGTCTGCAACCAAATCCACCATCAAAGTTCATACATGATAAAACAAATTCAATTGTCTTTTCCACATTAATAGCATCCAACTTCCCCAATAGTGCCAAAGTTGCCACTGCACAAAAAGAGAATCTTGTATCAATTTCTCCCTATTATATAAAGGTAGATTTTCACATCCCATGAAGCAGCTGGTCTCTCCGGCCTGCACTGTATTCAGCCCTTATCTTTTAGACTTGCCCTCTCTGTTCCAGTACTCCTGTATGCTGCTATAACTAGCACAGTGCATGCTGGAACTTCCAGCAGACCATTAACTCCAGTTAGACCAGCTGTTTAGTGGGACCCCAAATATCTCCAGCAAAAGAACCATCTTCTTTCTGTAGACTCTGAACATATTCCACAACTTTATTTATGTCAATAACATTAATACTATCATAGAGAGTAAGTATCTGAACAGCACTAAGAGTATACAGAAGATGAGGATCATGTCCAATACTAGCACTTATTCCACCACACTCATGTTGACAAGACTTTATAAACGTCAGAATTTCTTCTCTATTCATGCGATGTAGTTGTCCCATGAGATCCATTACGGTCAAACCCCAATAGATGCCACTCATTCTCAAATATTCAGACATGCAATATTCGTAGTCATCTTTCTTTGAGCCATAGGATGCAATATAATCTGCATGCTTTTCCAGTAACAGGATGTCAGGTGCATCTGACTTAATGATAACATCCTTCTGCGGTGTACCCATGACTGAGAGCGAAAAGAGAACTTCTTTGACCACTTTCTGACGATAAAGTTGCCAAATTCCAACTAAAATGTGGATATATCATCCCTTAAAAATCCTGAGAAAAGTTGATACGAGTGCCTCTTTTTCATAATCTAACCATTGATAGAAAATCTGTCTTGCTGGATTTAAACATTTAACATTCAAATGTCTTGTACTTGAAATCCAAATAGTAAAAACTATGTTTTTTACTTCAGGGGTATCTTTATTGAAAGTAGAAACAGAATTTTTATAAAAAAATAATTATATAATACCCCAGGCAAAAATTCTTATCGTTTAATAACTAAGTTTTAGAGAAGTGAGAGGAAGAATGGACAAAATAGTTATATTCAATATAGCATGAAAAAAATGCTTAGTGACATGCAAAACTGATCTTGTAAAAAAATGGGCAAGAAATAAATAGTTTTATTAGCTGGAGGAAATGTGTGAATATTTGTGGAAGTTTCAGTAAGAGGAATTTAGACAAACTACTATTAGAAAAGGAAAACAGAGACCTAAGAACAATCGAGCTACAAAACATTCTGGCAGGAAGGCTGGAAATTCATGTTCAGGTAATATTCTGAATAATGAAAGCAATTATGGCAAATGGCAAAACGATTGCATATTTTTCAGAAAAAAATTAAGCCTGGAATTATAAAATGTTTGATTTACCTTCAAATATTAAAAAAAATACTCAAGTGACTCATAGAGAAATCAATTTCCAACTCCTTAGATGATCAAGAGGTACGAAATAACAACCAACATGGCTTTAGCTTTCTGAAAAACACATTTAGTCAAACAAATCTCATTTCTTTCTATGATACAGTGACAAGAATGGGGTCAATTGAGGTCTTTTACTCAGTTGCTAATGACATGTATATTGTAAAAAAGGAAAAATGGTTTAGAAAAACAGACTCTCCAGGAGCTGCAATATGGAAGCCACTAGCTCCTGGTGACTATTATGTATTTGAAATGTGGCTAATCTGAATTGAGACATATTGTTAAGTGTAAATACATGACAGATTTTGATGATTTAGTATAAAAACCAAAAAATATCTCATTAATAATTACATCTTAACTACATATTGAAATGATGTCTTATATATTCTGGGTTGAATAAAATACATTATAAAATTAATTTCACCATTTTAAAATACTTAAATGTGACTATTAGAAAACTTAAAAGTACACATAATTTGCATCTGTGGTTCAAATGTAGTTCTACCATATAGCCCTGTCTGAAATATGAACACTAAACCCAGAATGGAGAATCTTTTGTCCTGTCTGAGCATCACTTTATTCTCTGTAACAGAGAGTGAGGAGACTGGGAGACTGGTGGGTAAGATGGGGCAGGAGAGTTCCTTGTTGGGCTATTGGGCTACCCTCTACTGCAGGGTAGTCTAGCATTTCTAGGCTCCACCCACTCGTGCTTCCCCAACTCTAGTCGTAACAGCCCAAGCCGTCCTTCTCATAGTTTCAAATGCCCTCAGTTCGGTTCGGTCACTCAGTCATGTCCGACTCTGTGACCCCATGGACTGCAGCACACCAGGCTTCCCTGTCCATCACCAACTCCCGGAGCTTGTGGAAACTCATGTCCATCGAGTCAGTGATGCCATCCAACCATCTCATCTTCTGTCATCCTCTTCTCTTTCTGCCTTCAGTCTTTCCCAGAATCAGGGTCTTTTCTAATGAGTCAGTTCTTCCCGTCAGGTGGTCAGAAAATATTGGAGCTTCAGCTTCAACATCAGTCCTTCCAATGAATATTCAGGACCGATTTCCTTTAGGATTGACTGATTAGATCTCAAGCAGTCCAAGGGACTCTCAAGAGTCTTCTCCAACACCACAGTTCAAAAGCATCAATAATTCGGTACTCAGCTTTCTTTATGGTCCAAATCTCACATCCATACATCACTACTGGAAAAACCATAGCTTTGACTAGATGGACATTTACATCTGCTTTTATGTCTCTGTTTTTCAATATGCTGTCTAGGTTGGTCATAGGTTTTCTCCCAAGGAGCAAGTGTCTTGTAATTTCATTGCTGCAGTCACCATCTGCAGTGATTTTGGAGCCCAAGAAAATAAAGTCTGTCTCTGTTTCCATTGTTTCCCCATCTATTTGCCATGAAGTGATGGAACCGGATGCCATGATCTTAGTTATTTTGAATGTTAAGTTTTAAGCCAGCTTTTTCACTCTCCTCCTTCACATTTATCAAGGCACTCTTTAGTTCCTCTTCACTTTCTGCCACAAAGGTGGTGTCATCTGCATAGCTGAGGTTATTGATATTTCTCCTAAGCAATCTTGATTCCAGCTTGTGCTTCATCCAGCCCTGCATTTCACATAATATTCTTTGCATATAAGTTAAATAAGCAAGATTACAGTGTACAGCCTTGATGTACTCCTTTCCCAATTTGGAATCAATCTGTTGTTCCACGTCCAGTTCTAACTGTTCCTTCTTGACCTGCATACAGATATCTCAGGAGGCAGGTAATGTGGATGGTATTCCCATCTCTTGAAGAATTTTCCACACTTTGTTGTGATCCAAACAGTCAAAGGCTTTGGCATAGTCAATAAAGTAGAAGTAAATGTTTTTCTGGAACTCTTGCTTTTTTGATAATCCAACAGATGTTGGCAATTTCATCCCTGGTTCCTCTGCCTTTTCTAAATCCATCTTGAATATCTGCCAGTTCTCAGTTCACATACTGTTGAAGCTTCACTTGGAGAATTTTGAGCATTAACTTTGCTAGCATGAGAGATGAGTGCAATTATGCAGTAGTTTGGACATTAGTTTGCATTGCCTTTCTTTGGGATTGGAATGAAAACTGACCTCTTCCAGTCCTGTGGTGACTGCTGAGTTTCCAAATTTGCTGGCATAATGAGTGAGGCACTTTCACAGCATCGTCTTTTAGGATTTGAAATAGCTCAACTGGAATTCCATCACCTCCACTAGCTTTGTTCGTGGTGATGCTTCCTAAGGCCCACTTGACTTCACATTCTAGGATGTTTGGTTCTAAGTGAGTGATCACATCATCATGGTTATTTGGGTCATGAAGATCTTTTTTTGTATCATTTTTCTGTGTATTCTTGCCACCTCTTAATATCTTCTGCTTCTGTTAGGTCCATACCGTTTCTATCCTTTACTGTGCCCATTTTGCATGATGTGTGTCCTTGGTATCTCTAACTTGATGAGATCTCAAGTCTTTCCCATTCTATTGTTTTCCTCTGTTTCTTTGCATTGATTACTGGGAAAGGCTTTCTTTTCTCTCCATGCTATTCTTTGAAACTTTGCATTCCAATGGGCATATCTTTCCTTTTCTCCTTTGCCTTTCCCTTCTCTTCTTTTCTCAGCTATTTGTAAGGCCTCTGACAACCATTTTGCCTTTTTGCATTTCTTTTTCTTGGGGATGGTCTTGTCCCTAGGGTGATTAAAAGCCAGTGGGCTAGGAAATTGTTACAGGGTCTTTTTCAGTACTAAATTTTTATGTCTGCAGTGTGATTTTTATAAAACTCCTTTTTGTTTGTTTGTTTTAGTTTTATGAAAATTTCTTTTTGTTAACATATGAATACAGTGTTTAATGACAGCCCACTTGAGGGATGAACACACAACCATTTTTAGTGTTTACCCTGTATAATTTTCTAAGTTTGTATGAGGTTTATTCATCTAATATTCTAGCACTTAACACCTGCCACTTTTCATTTCATTTGTGTACATGTCTTGTGCTCCAAATAGGATCAGAAGCTCTGATGGCAGAGTTTCTTATATAACCTTTCTCTCCCATAGCAAATGAATAATAGAAATCAGTGAAGCAAATGGATCCAGAGGTCAGGATAGCTTTCTGGATTGAGTTTGAATCTGGTGTTATTTAACATTTTCAGCACAGACTATGGTGGTCATTCATTTGATCTTAACCATATGCTGCCATATGCAGTATAAAAATTCATAGATTTAAATTTGACTGTCCAAATTAAACAAATTCTTTGAGAGCATAAGATATGTGCTATTAATATATGGTAATATTTTAAAATAACTTTATGGTATCATATTTTCTGATTTAGAAATTGAAAGAACCCTTAAAAGTAGACATTATCATCTCCATTTTACTGAAGAGTAAACTGAGGTTTAAGGAGACTGAAAACCTGATGGCAGAATGACCAGGATTTGAAGACACAACTTGACTTCAGGTCATCTGATGCTGGGCTGATGGTTTTTGTGTCACTCTACAACACTGTAACATACTTTCCTTTGTATCTGTCCTAGTCTGGCTTTCCACAGAAGTTAATCCTGAGAAAAAGATTTGAGTGGAAGTTTGGGCATGTGCAGGGGACACTTGAGTAGCAGGGATGTGAAAAGCACCCAGTAAGGCGTGAAATTAAGTCACTATAATCCCAGACGGTGAGGTGGTAAAGAATCCACCTGCCAGTGCAAGAAACTCAGGAGTTGTGGGTTCAGTCCTTGGGTCGGGAATATCCCCTTGAGGAGGGTATGGCAACCCACTCCAGTATTCTTGCCTAGAGAATCCTATGGACAGAGGAGCCTGGAGAGCTACAGTCCATGAAGTCTCAAAGTGTCAGACATGCACACACTTATGAAAAGAGGCCTCAGGTTCTCAGCAAACCCTGGAAGTGGAGATATTTGGAGCATTAGGAGATAGGGCCTTAACAGAGGTGATTAAGCTAAAATAAGCATGCTTGAGTGGGTTTTAATCCAATCAGTCATGTCCTTGTGAAAAGAAGAAATCTGGACACAGAAAGAGACATCAGGGACATGCACATAAAAGAAAGATCATTTGAAGACAGAAGAATGCAACCAAGCCAAGGAGAGCGAGCCTCAGAAGAAACCAGAGCTGCCAAAAAATTGACCTTGGACTTTTACCCTCCAGAACTATGAGGAAATAAAGGTCTATCATTTCAGCCACCCACTGTGTGATAATGTGTTATTGCAGCAATAGCAAATGAATACATCATGCTTGAGAAGCTTTCTCCAAAGGAGTTAATAAGCTGGAGTACTTGTACTAGAGGTTCACATTCTGTACTCACGGTTCTCATATA